CTGCTCCTGAGACTTCCCCAGGCCTGTTGTCTTGCACCAGTGTTTGTTGAGTCTTGGGATGCTGCTGTGGCTCATGTGCAACACCCTGTGTTTCAGCTGCTGCCCCACCATGTGCGAGGCCGGCCTGATCACCCCGGAGCCGTCTGGCCCCGTGCAGTACTACGCTGAGTCCTCCGACACCTACTACCATGTGGACCGTTGGCAGAGGCTGCGCACAGCTGTCAGGAAGCTGGAGTTCTGGGAAAACTTCAATGCTGAGCTCATAGGCAGTGGCTTCTTCTCCAAGGTCTACAAGGTAAACTGACCTGGAGGCAGCCCATGGCCTCCGAGAGAGTAGCAGAGGCTGAGGCTGTGTAGGTAGTTCTGCTACTGACAGACCTGTCCCTGTGTGCATTTCTTTGTCTTCATCCTTCCTAGCTCACTCTGGCAGGTTGGATGGGCTGAGAGAGGAAGGGACCCCTCCTCAGTGAACCCGGCATGTTGCCTTTGATGCACATCTCCCCTTCTGTAGTAAAAAAGGAGATGAGAGGACTCAGTCAATCCATGTTCATGGATACTGTCATCCAACCATGCAGCAGGCATGCCAGGGACCTGAACTGGGTGTCCAACGAGATTAAGGGATATTTATGCTCTGTGCAGGCTTTGTTGTCAACATTGTAGCAAAAAATATAGAGAAAAAGAATGTAAAATGAAGCTGTGTGTGCTGCCCACACCTGTGGAGACACTAGTGCAGTCACCCTTCCTGGCTGCTGCCCTGTGTTAGGGGTGATGCTGGGGAAGGACAGAGGACTTGGGGCAGGGTCAGGTTGGGACAGGCTGCTGGTCTGTCCACTTCTGCCTCTGCTGCCTTCATGTCAGGAGACCCACGGCTCCCTGCAAGCCAGAGCATGATGTAGATGGCGATGTCACCAAAGCAAAACTGCTTTTCTCACAGGGGCTGTTTTGAGACTTTCTGCACCAAGCTCTGCCGGTGGGAGGGTTTAACTCTCTCTGAGCAAGCACAGGATCCAGGGAGCTGCCAGCTTTGCTGCCCCTCCAGTGCTGCTCCTCAGCCCAGGAATGCCACTGCTTATGTGGGGTGTGTGGGTGGGACCTGGGGGTGAAGGGTGAAGTGGAGGGAGGTGTTTCATGCTAGGAAGTGGGACTCAGCCTTTAACTCTGAGAGCAGTTGCCATGTTGCTTTGCAGTATGGCCAGGTTTGCCATCTTCTCTCTCCTCCCAGCAGCCCTCTAGAATGTGGCTGCTGGCACTGGTTGTTGGGTTGTGACACAGACCCAGTGGGAGCAACTTGGGCCTGACCGTTGCCTTTAGATCCTTAGAACTTGACTGGCCCCATGATAAACATCATGATTGCCCATTTCTCCTGGGTCAGCATAAGACGATTCTGCCAGAGGACTACTCTGGCACATCCTGGGTAGGATCTCTGCCTGGTGCAAGCATGTGTGTCCAGTTGAATGGAGCGAGGCTGGCAGGATCTTGCCATGGAACTGCAGAAAACATGCAAGTCAGATGGATAAATGCACGTTGCTTCCTGAGTACTCTGCCTCCTCCTCTGCTGCACCTGACCTTGGTGCTGTGATAAAGCCTTTGGGTGAATGTCAGGTTCAGGGACAGTGCACTAAAGCTGATTCCGTGGAATAATTTCCCTAAGATTCTAGGGGAATCTCCAGCCAAAGGTCTATGGCAGCTCTTTGCAGACTTGGGCAACACATGACAAATACCCCTCCCCAGCACAGACTCCCTCTAGGAATTGCTTTCTCCACCTACACATTGTGCTTTGGCTGCTTCTCTTTCCTCTATCTAGCAGATTTTTGTAGTAACAGTTGCTGTTTTCTTTGTGCATGACATTTTCCTCCAGCCCTG